CATCATGGTTCCAGCGTTACCGAACCTGAACACATGACTCTCCTCAGCAAACTTCACTCGCAGACCTAAGTCACGCAGTCGCTTGCAAATGCACTCCAACGTGTACTCGCCCACGAGAGTCTTGCGACAGGCTGTGTCCGGCACGCCACTCGAGTCAAGGCTGGCAGCATTCTCTGCTTCAAAAACTTCTGGAAAACCTTTGTGCGCAAACGCAGCTACGCTCTCCGTCTCTGCGCTCAGCACATCTGGCTCATCATCGCCGGCGGGGTTCATGACACGGTCCGGAACCACTGTGCCCTCGCCCTCGTGCAGGAAGAAGTCCTCATCCCAGCCTTCGGTCATCAGCACCTCGTCTTCGGCCAGGTGCGTCTCCTTCTGGTCTGGCGGTCCATTGGCCTTCTTCCCCGGGCACTCGCGCTTCCAGTGTCCCAGCCGTTTGCAAAGGTGGCATCGCGTTCTCGCCTTCAAAGACTCCAGCCGGGCATTCACGCTGCCCGTCAACTTCCACCTCTGCTCGTCGCCCGGCTTGGCTCTTGGCACCGGTGCAAAACCCCTTGCCTTCTTCTTTTCCAGCAGCCGCTTGCGAACCTCAGCGTAGCTCTCGAAGGCTTCCACGGCCCCCTCGTCGCTAAGGTCATTGTCCTGAATCTCCTCCGCCACGCTTTCCATGACCATCTGCACCTCGTCCTCTTCATTCGGGGCCTCTGCTTGAAAGGCCTCACGCTGCTTGGGCGCCGGTCCTGCCTTCCCTTCTGGAAAGATGCTCTGCACAGCCTTCCACACCTGCGCCATGTCACCGGCCGCCGCGGTCAGCACCATTGCCTCTTGATTGGAATCCAAGCGCAACTTCTTCAGCAACAAGTAGCCCTGAACTACCTTCGGCAACTTCACATCCTGCTCTTCAAGAAGACGGTTCGCCGAAGTGAACCGAACATAGAACTGACGGTAGCTCTCTCCTGGGCTGGCTTGCAACTCATAGAAGAAGGTCTTAAGGGCGGTGTGCAACAGGTCCACTGGCTGCGGGGAGTACTTCTCGTCGAGAAGCTTGAAGATCGCCTTGTCTCCTCCATCGGCACAGAGCGTCTCCAAGGAAACACTCTCAAGCAGAATCTCGGCCTCACCCTTGACAAACTCCATCAAGCGAGGTCCATACTTCTCCTTTGGCACCGTTGTCGGGAGCCCTGCGATCATGATCTGAGCCCTCCTTTTCCAACACCGGTACAGCGTTGGATCTGTTCCATCGAAGCGCTCAAGTCTCTGCTGGCTGCCTAGGTCATCTGCGGCTGAGGTAGAACTGCTGGTCATCGCTGCCGACACGTGAAGCGCGCCTCCTTATCGGAGACTCAGCTGGCACCTTTCGCTACCAGCTCCGCTACCACTGTAACCCTCAGAGGGCTACACTGGTTCCATGCCTGCAATCAAGAGCGGCTCTTTTCCTCAGTCACTTGAACCCCGTCGGCTGCGAGAGTCGCCGTGTGCCTTGTGGCTCCTTCGAAGCCTGTGCACTGCTATGCCACATGACTGGATGGGTGACTGGCAGATCCGTACTTTCACACCTTTGTCTTCGATGAAAAGTTCTTCTTGGATTCACCCCTTAGGGTTTCACCTTGGGCAAAAGGTGCCTGCTGGATTCACTCCTTAGGGTTTTGTCTTCGGTAATAGGTTCCTGCTGGGTTCAGTCCTTAGGGTTTTCCGTCTTCGGTGAAACGTTCTTCTTGGATTCATCCCTTAGGGTTTCATCTCTGGCTAAAGGTTCCTGCTGGATTCACTCCTTAGGGTTTTCGTCTTCGGTACTAGGTTTCTGCTGGGTTTACTCCTTAGGGCCTTCGTCTTCGATGAAAGATTCTTCTTGGATTCACCCCTTAGGGTTTCTACTTCGGCAGAAGGTTCCTGCTGGATTCACTCCTTAGGGTTTTGTCTTCGGTAACAGGTTCCTGCTGGGTTCACTCCTTAGGGTTTTCCGTCTTCGGTGAAACGTTCTTCTTGGATTCACCCCTTAGGGTTTCATCTCTGGCTAAAGGTTCCTGCTGGATTCACTCCTTAGGGCTTTCGCCTTGGGTAACAGATTCCTGCTGGGTTTACTCCTCAAGGTTTTCGTCTTCGGTGAAAGGTTCTTCTTGGATTCACCCCTTAGGGGTTCACCTTCGGCAAAAGGTTCATGCTGGATTCACTCCTTAGGGTTTTCGTCTTCGGTAATAGAATGTTGCTGGGTCCTTAGGCTCGTCGTCTTGGGTGAAAGGTTCTTCTTGGATTCACCCTTTAGGGTTTCATCTTCGGCAAAAGGTTCATGCTGGATTCACTCCTTAGGGTTTTCGTCCTCGGTAATAGAATGTTGCTGGGCAGACTCCTTAGGGTCTCCGTCTTGGGTGAAAATTTATTCTTGGATGCACCCCTTAGGGTTTCGTCTTCGGCAAAAGGTTCATGCTGGGTCCACTCCCTAGTGTTTTCGTCATCGGTGCTAGATTCACTCCTTAGGGTTTTGCTTTCGGTATTAGGTACCTGCTGGGTTTAATTCTTAAGGTTTTTCGTGTTCGGTGAAAGGTTCTTCTTGGATTCACCCCTTAGGGTTTCACCTTGGGCAAAAGGTGCCTGCTGGATTCACTCCTTAGGGTTTTGTCTTCGGTAATAGGTTCCTGTTGGGTTCACTCCTTTCGGTCCTCGTCTCGGGTGAAATGTTCTTCTTGGATTCACCCCTTAGGTTTTCATCTCTGGCTAAAGGTTCCTGCTGGGTTCACTCCTTAGGGCCTTCGTCTTCGATGAAAGGTTTTATGTTATATATTATATATTATATATTATATATTATATGTTATATATTATATATTATATATTATATATTATATATTATATATTATATATTATATATTATAGATTATAGATTATAAAATATATATATATTATATATTATAGATTATAATATATATATATATATATATATATATATATATTATATTATATATTATGTATTATATATTATATGATATATATTATATATTATATATTATATATTATATATAGTATTATTATATAATATTATATATTAGATATTTATAAAATATATATTGTATATTATATATTTATATTATATATTATATATTTGTATATATTATAATTATTTTATATATTATATATTATATATTATATATATATATTATATACTATTTTACTATATATTTTATAAATATTAAATATTAAATATTATATATTATATATTATATATTATATATTATATATTATATATTATATAACAAATATTACATATTAACAAATTATATGTAATATACTATATATTTTACATTCAGAATTTAGATGTTATTTGTTATATACTATTTATCATGTATTCTATGTCATTTTATATATACTACATACTAAACATTCTATAATACATACTGCATATTATATATTATTTTTGATATGTTGTACATTTTATACTGTGCATTTTATATTGTATATCTTCTGTTGCATGTTACGTGTTATGCATTATATATGATACATGATATATTATATATTACATGTTATAGATTAAATATATATTGTCTATTATATACATATATATATATACATATATATATATACATATATATATATATATTATCTTATATATTGTATATTACTTCTATATGGGAAGCAAGCATCTGGTTGTGCGAAAAATGCACCCCTCCTAAGGGAAAACACTACTTTCATGCGAAAGTGCACCGCGCCTAGGAAAAACTGCATTTTCAGCCCAAACATGCACCCCGCCGAGGGAAAACTAGGATTTCTTAAAAATTAGCACCGCGCCTGGGAAATATTGCAGATTCCGGCAAACTGACTACAGTCATTTGTGACTCCCGGTTTTCCGTTTCAAAGATCAAAACAATCGGGTGCATGTGCTGGCATGTACCAAAACCCTGGAAGGGTCTCCATTTTCAGCCGTTGAACCACCTGTCATTTGTGACTCCCTGGTCGGCTGTTGGACAACAAGGTTCGTGAAGACAAACGTTCAAGAACGTCCCAAGAGCCTAGGGAGTCAGAAATGACATGCATGCCGGGTTGAGGAGGTTTAGGGTTGACACAAACATGCAGTAGGGCTTGTGCCTGCGCTGAGGCGGACTCCACATCGGTGGCTATCGGGCCTGAGCGGATTGGACACTGTGCTCTGAGGCGAAACTCGCAGCTTGTCGCAGTGTAGGGTCTTGCGACCCGGACTTGACGGCGACAGTAGGAGGGTGTGGCTCACGAGGGTACAGAAAGTGATATCATCCATATAAGTCGCCCCAATACAGTAAGCCTGCGAACTTTCCCGAGGCAGCTGCGAGGCAGCCGGCCGGGCCCCGGCAACATGACAGAAGAATGGACAAGCGTCTCACGCTTTCTGATTTCTGGAGAGGGCAAAAAAGGGATTAAGATTAAGACAATGTGTTCAAAAATGGGACGCGGTGGGACGCGGTACCTTGGGAGGCTTGAAAGCCAGTGGGAAGCGAGGTGGCCCAATGAAAAGGGTCGTTCAAGGGGCCCCCCGTTTGTCTCGTTTTGCTGCACTTCACCGTACCGTGGCGTGGGGCTTCTGGCTGTCTCTGACATGCTGTTACTGTTTCCTAGGCGAGCAGGTTGGGGTTCGCAGAGTTTGAGCCATCCGGGCACAGCACCGCGAGCATCCGTTTGGCATCTTGGCATGCTCCGTGACATGCTTCCTTGGCCACGCGCAGAGAAGATCGGCTCGCCGCGCCTTGCTAAACCATCAACCCAGAGACTTCAATATCCCTTAAGGAATATTCCTTAAATCATAGTGGGGAACCTACTATAAATTTCAGGTATATTCCTAACCTACTATAAATTTCAGGTATATTCCTTAGTTAAGGGATATTGGAGTCACTAGGACTTTTCTCCACCCTAAACCCTACCCCTATAAACCCTATAAGCCCTGTAAATCCTATAACCCCTATAAACCCTATAAACCCCATAAACCCTACAAACCCATAAACCCTAAACCCTGCCCCGTCTCACTTTTCTCCATTGCAGCATCACGTCCCCGCGAGCATCTTCTTCCTTGGTCCGGCATAGCAAAGAAAAGGATTCTCGAAAGGGCCCATTTGACCGAACGCCCGGAAATCCTCGATGCCCGTACCTATGCAGATAGATATGTGTGTGTGTGTGTATATATATATATATACACACATACATATTATACATATACATATGCATATACATAGACCGCTGCATATATATATATATAGATAGATATAGAAAGGGTCACTAGAAGCTCCTTCTTGGAGGTTTGGGGTGTTAAATGAGGAGTTGAAACTCACGTTCCTGAAACCTCCCGATGGCTTGCTACCACTCTGGTTGGACTAAACTGTAGCCTCAAGTTCACTGAAAATGTGTGAAGGCCGTTCTTGGCTGCGGTTTTTGTTCGTTTGAAACACATCTGATCATCCGGGACCAACAACAATCCCAACACTGCCAAAATTTCAAAACCGCGCACCTGGCCCTAAACCCCTGAACTTCTGCAACCCTACACCCTAAAACCTCAACCCCTAAACTCTTCAACCCTACGATGCCCCCCCATGTCAAGTTGCCGCTGCTCGCTCCAGAGCTGCTGGAGGCTCACCAGCTGGTCCTTTCATTCGCTTTACGAGGGTTTAGGGGGCTCAGGTCTAACAGGCTAAGGTTTAGGGTTTAAAGGTTAAAGGGTTTAGGGCTTGAGTTTAGGGTTTAGGGCTTAGGGCTCAGGGTCTAAAGGTTAGGGCTCTTGCGATTTATGATTTAGAGTTGATGGTTCAGGGTTTAAAGGCTTCGTAAAGGGTTTCGTCGGGTTAGATCGTTGTCCAAGGAAGCACACAACTGTCTGTGTTTCAGAGATTCAGGGTCTCGGGCTCGAGTTTGAGCTCTGGCAAGTCAGACTCCTTCGGTATGCAGCAACCTTTGGAAGTCAGGCTGTCTGAGCCTTTGTTCATGTGCACTTTCGGTTCCGCGATGACAGCCTATTCTGTCGCATCCTCAGCCCAAAAACCAAACGTCCTTTGCCAGTCGCGGTGTTGTCGTCGACCGCGCGGAGAGCGGGGGCGTCGGCGCAGAGGGGCCTGGCATGCACCGGCGTTCTCCCCGAAATCCTTCAAAACTCTCCAAATTCCGCAACTTCCTGACATCATGCCCCCTCGAACCCCCAAAATACCCGAAAACCCCAAACCCCTTGAGCCGGGCGTGTGGTTCCTTGTTGCAGCCCTTGGCTGAGCTCCAGGTCGCGATCAGACCTCGAGCAGCAAAGTCAGGAGTCACGAGGGTTTAGGATAATCACCAATACAGTTTTGGTGGCTCCTTATTATTCTTATTATGATTATTAATATGATTATGATTGCTATTATACAGTTTTGCAGTTTTGGTGGCTCCTTATTATATGTATTTTTTCATGCCCCCAAAGTCCTATTCTACCCTGAATATAGAACCCTATTGTAGATCCCTTACGGACCCCTTTAAGCATCCCTTTAAACGGAACCCCATTCTAATTGTGAAGGCCCCTATATTAGGCTTTAGGGCACGAGGCTTCCGTGCTCTTAGGCTCCCGACGACACTCGCTGCAGCAGGTTGCTCCACCTGACGTCTGAGCTTCTTCAGGGGTCTACATTAAGTCTTTTTCGGTTGCCATTATTGCTGTCAACTTCTGAGTCTCAGATCCTGACAATCATTAACATCACTATGTTTAGTAGTGTTGTTGTGGTGGTTGCTGCTGCGGCTGTGGCTGTTGCTGTTGCTGTTGCTGTCGCTGTTGCTGCTGCTTTTGCTCTCGCCGCTGCTGCTATTGTAGTTGCTGCTATGGTTAATGTGAATGTGACTCTTTTTTGACTATTCTCACAACCACCATTCACTCTTGTAGCTATGATCATGACTGCTACCGGGGGGCCTTGAGTCGAGGCCGGCGAGGTCTCGTGCCCGTGACGGTGACGACTTTCTCGGAAAGCCTAGGCTCAACGCGAAAGGCGCTGACTCCAAGCGAGTTTAGGGCGGTAGGGCTAGAAGCGGCTTCGTACTGTAAATAAGGCTTGCTATGGGACATATATGTGCATGGTCATTGATTTTCTCGAAAATGCACACGGGGACTTGGCTTCGTATGTGGCGACCGAGAACCTTGCATCATGGCCGGTGGCCTTTCAATCCGGAGCCATCATGCTGTTACGTGCCTCGAACTGCGTTCTAAAACCTGCGAGTAACGCAGAATCGAAGGACCCCACGAGGTGTAACCAAACCACAAGCTAAAAAAGCCGAAGCACCGTCATCTCATCTGCTTCCTTGTCATGGTCTATTCTGATCTCCCCTTGCCGCTACCGGCCCAACAAAGATGCCAGGATTCCAAGTCAAGGAGCCCCCGGCCAACGCCACGGGCGGCACGTGCAACGCCTGGAGTTCAAAATCCTTGAACTTCATAATAGTAATAATAATAATAATAACAGTAATAATGGTAATAATAGTAACAATAATAATAATCATAATAATAATAATAGTAATAATAGTAATAATAATAATAATAATAGTAACAATAGTAATAATAATTATAATAATAATCGTAATAGTAATAATAATAGTAATAATAACAGCAGGCTCTTTAGTCTTCAGACCGGGCCTTTCAAGTCGTAGCAGTCGCAAGCACAGCCACTCTCTCTGCTAGAGTTGTATAGGGGCATATCGGGATCAAAAAACGGTTTCACTCTGCTTTTGGTACAGGTTTGTATTGGGTTTTTTTCGCCTCGTCCCTGCACGAAAAGGTAGGGTGCCTCCCCGATCTTCTCCCTCGGCTGCGCCTGATCGGCTGGTCCAAAAGCCCACAGGAGCCTTAATGGTTAGAATAGGGTGTAATTATTAAAAGGAACCCCCCTATAATATAGGAGCCTTAACAGTTAGAATAGGGTGTAAGTATAAAAAGGAACCCCCTCAAAACCCTGTTCTAATAGCCCTCATCTCTCAGCTCGAAATGGACGCTCGAGAGCCCTAAACCCCAAGCACTAGACCCTTCTGGACCTCCAGCCCCAATCCCTAAATCCTAATACAAGGGCCTTCATAATTAGACTGGGGTCTTTGGGTACACTATACTAGATTTACCGTTTACATTATTAGGATCATTAGGAATATTTGGGAGATGATATTGGTAAACATTTCGGCTTCTGTATTAGGTCTCTCCGTGCCTGGGCCTTAGAGAGAGGCTTTGCGGAGATGTTCGCCTCCCGGCGCCTGGGACGTCCGAGAGCTCTGAGCCTCTTTCGTTTTAGGGTCCCCTTATCAAAGCCGGATAGTCGGAGAAAGAGTACCTTTATTACAGAGGGGCTACTCAGGGACCTGGAGGGTTTCGGCGAGTTTGGGGCGTCACTTTCGGGCTGTAACTCGCTACACCATAGGATATTTAATCATGTTTAGTTGAAGGTTCAGGGACCCTCTTTTCAGGGCTGGGGCTGTAGAATGCGCCGAGTCCGCTGCAATCGATCCTCTTCCTCCTCAAGCCTCAGAACAGTCTGCGGTGTTCAAGGAGGTTTTGGGGGAGATGAGATCTAAAACCATGATCTCTTGGGCTCGGGCTTCAGGGTTTTGGGGGTTTGGGCTTTCGTAGAGCTTTGGGCTTTCGGGTCCGGGGTTTAGGACTTCGAGTTTAGGGTCCTTGATCCCTGAGCCGGCCTCTCCCTTAGCCGTCCTGGACGCCTTGGAGAGGTTGGCGGAGATGTCGGCATCTGCGAAGAACCAGGCAACCGGGTAGAGTGGTCTCGTTTTGTTCAGATCAGGTGATAAACTGATTTAGGGCTCACTCAGCAGACACTTCAGGGCAGCACAGCCCGGTGCGCTCTTGCCATTGATGCTATCACAAAGCCAATTCCCCTCCGGGACTGCTCCGGCCTTCTGATCGGCAAGGCGGTTTCCCGTGGGAGGCTCGCCCTGTCCGTGAGAATATGGCCCCGTTCACTTCTTTGCTGAGATCCTGCGCCTAAGCATCTCAGGTCGGCACAGAAGTGTACTGAGTAAGGACAAGGCTACGTGCTTGAGATGATAGCACCAAGACTTGCTTGAAAACCGTCGTCACAAAACTATCGTCACTGCTAGCCCGAGGCTTTCGTCCAACGCGTGGCGGCCTCCACACCGCCCTGCCACTGGCCTCAGGCAACAGTACACGTGCGAGGCGTGGCGAGGGCTGCTCAGATCTCACCTTCGAGTTTGGAGCTAGAGCATTGCCCAGCTACGTTCTTCCGAGACAGGAACCTGGAGCCTACGTCCGGATCACAAATACAAGGTACTCAGCCTCCCAAGCCCCTCTGTCATTCAAAACCTCAAAACCCTCGCATTCTTTTCCCAATCTGCACACCGTTCCACACATCGAGTTGAATTTGCGAACAGGCGCAAACTCAAGCACTCTGCAGTTGTCGTTCAGCTTTAGCATCTTGTAAGCCCCAGATCCTGCCTCCCGTTCTTCCTACCTGCATAGTCAGAACAGGGCTTTGGTGGCCTTCTATCCTAGATTTCTGATGAGGATCCCCACTCAGGCCCCTACGAACCCTTAACAAAATCCTAAGAAAGCCTTATAAACCCCTCTTCTCTTGTAGTCCTCATACAGAACCCGGCAAAAGTATATAAAGACCTAGGACCTAGGACCTTGTAAAACCCTTGTACATGTAGAACCCGTATAAAGGCCCTTCATGTGGGAGTTTACGAAAATAGGGGACCCTACTATAGTACCCTAAATAGTAGGATCCTTATTATAAGGACCCCCAAATAAGGTACCCCTAATTCTCGGAAACTCCCATGTAGGTCTCCCTCTCAGCTTGGGCTGCTGGCGGCGCAGCAAAGCCGCCGCCGCAGGATGAGGCCTCGAAATTCGGATCTTCGCTGGAAGTAAAATTGGGGCTGAGGGCTTTTTAGGGCTTTGGGGCTTCAGGGTTTCAAAGCTTCAGGGCTTTTCGGTTTTAGGGTTCAGTGTGTCGGGTTGTGGACTGGCGGCTTTGGGTGGTAACTTTGAGTCGAGAGGCCATGGCGCTCGGCGCCGCAGAGCGAGCTCCTTGACCAGCTGCCGGCCTGTTCAGTTCAGGTCTTGAAGGTAAGTTGCAGGGCTGTACCAGGATTCCTTGGAGGGCTTTATAAGGGTTTCTAGACGGGTTCCAGAAGGCTGCTAACAAAGGTTCCGCAAGTTCGGCTCCCCAAGATCAAGTTAAGAATCAGGGCAGCCTCCGTCCCCGACCTGCCAAGGGCCGTGTCTCTGTGGGCGTGTTGGTGATCGCCCAAAGCTATCGTCAGAAAGAGAGCTCAAGCCGGATCCCACGCTTCCACCCAAAAAAACCCAAACCCTCGTATCTGGTCCTGAATATTTATTCATACTATTCGTCAGAGCTGCCTTCTTGATGTCTTATTGACACCGTATTCAAAGGCCTTGACACTAATGTAGGGGCCTTAATAATTAGAATAGGGTTTGGTTATACTATAGTTATAATAAGGAACCCTCACAATAATATTGGTAAGTATTTTCAGGCCTTGACACTAAACCTCAAACTCACCCAAACCCACTCCAGTCTCCAGGCTCCCCACGCTCTGCCCGGAGCATCTCCATGAGACCTGCAACGAGCTCAAAGCGGGATTCCCAGAAAAATAGTGTAGGGTTGTAGGAATTTGGGCGTAAGGGTGTTAGGGCTCAGAGCTCTTGGCTTTCTTTCGGTATTCAGGGTTTGGGCAGGCTTGCTCCAGAAGGAAGCTGCCTTGCTTCTGCCGGCTGAAACGAGCTCACCAGCATGCCTCGTGACATACACATGGCTTTCTTTTCCACCCGAACATGCGCGCCGTCAATCGCAGAAGCGGGATGGCAGATGCTGTGAACCTCGACTCAATGGCCGTGCCGCAGCATCTTTTCGCGTTGAACCAATTCACGACCACGAGTTTAGGAACTTCGAGATTGCGCCAGTGCCCCAGGATGACACTCAGGAAACGGACGGGCGCAGTCCACGCGACGATCAAGCAATGGTCCGAGGAAGGCGGTTCTGATAGCTACTGTACAGAAGTCACTCAGGAGGCACCGCCGCAATAATGTCCTGTGGCTGCAAGCCATCAATGAACCTGAGCACAGCTGCTGCTCTGCTGCTCTCTGTTCCGTGCAACTGCGGCTTCCCATTGATGTTTTCTCACACTGCGGCATGAACTCCCACCTAGCCGACCTAGCCGCTACATGTCGACACGGACATACCGATGGCCCCAGGCAAGCTGGAGATGCAGGTAATCACAAGCTACGATTCGAGGCACTGGATCTTGAAGTCCGGGTTCACCTTTCGAAGCTTCTCCAGAACCATCTCCTGCTGGTGCAGTTAAAGGAAGACGAAAGATTTCGCAGCAACACTTGGTATCGGTTCCGTGGTCCCTTGCTCGCTCCTTCGCTCCTCTGCGCACCTTAGTCTGTATGTATAGGTGTCTTCTCCGCGCGACTTTACTTAGACCAGACGAGGTAACGGGCGAGAGATGGCACAGTGCAAGATGCACCAGAGCCGTCCTCGAAAATCTAGACTGCAAACGTAAAGTAAAGCACGAATGGCCATAGCCTGCCGTCCCGGCTCGAGAATACTCTCGCCATCCAATCTAATTGCTATGCGTTTCATTCCCACCTGGCCGCTCTGTTGACTTAGCAAAAAGGGTACGAAAAACTGGTTCTTTTGATCGTAACTCTAGTCACTACTATTTCTGTTATAAGCGCACCTAGGGACACTAAGCAAATTTAATTACAAGGCATGAAAGGCTTCGCCAATGTCTCTCCTCGGTGAGACCACGCCACCAGCCTCAGCGATCCGGAATCCCGTCCGCAAGATTTCCGCGCAGCTTCTGTGGAGACCCCCAAAATTAGGTTTAGGGTTTAGGGTTTAGGGTTCCGCGCAGCTTCTGTGGAGACCCCAAAATGAAAGCGTAGCCGTAGCTTGCATCGGAAATTGCAGAACTGCTGAGTGCTGACGACCCAAGTGTAATGAGTTGCAGTGTGCATGTAAGCGAATACTGGTCTTGTCTGGGAAGGCCCGTCCTAAAGAAAGTTCAACGGCTCAACAGCCCCCCAATGTTAGCACTTTGCAGCTTTGTTACTTTGGGTTGGGTGTTCCCATCCCGGCTGCAGGCACCGGCGATCGTCGATTAACACCTGCGCAGATCGAAACGACAAGTTCTTGTACGCAGATACCACGATCCTAGGATCATAACTGCTTGGGCGTGATGACTCGTATCTTAGTTTCCGTTGCTGGTATGCGGGAGCTGATTGCTGCGCCTTGTGTTGTCGCGCCAGTGGGTGCTGGGCAATCGCCTCCGCATGCCAGTGGCAACAGAAGAACACAGCTTCCGGTCTAGATGGCGGTAGGTTTAGGCTACTCTGCATCCTCTTCGTGCTTAGTGTCCATGGTTTCTGACGGAAGCGCTAGGAGTTGAATCGCCCCAACAGTAGTGGAGTGCGTAAAGCTCACGGCTAAGAGGTCTAGTGGGAGAACGGAAGACCTCCAGCTCAGCGAGAAGTGGGCACGGACTCCTGGGCGGTGTTTCCGGCAGGCCAGACTCTGCGACGTCTTTCTGAAGTACGTACTCTTCCTAGTGACTCGCGCTGTGGCTGTATGGAGCAGCTGCTGACAGAAACAAGAATACTGAAAATGCCGGCAACCCACTGCGACAGACGGGGCACTGAGAATCCGGATCCCGGTCGTCAGATTCAGGATCGCCAGAGGATGCAGGGCACTCCTGAACGATTGCCATCCCAACTGCTACGCGCGCGCATACGACAATGACATAGGATGATTATACACGTATCCAGCTAAACTATTCCATGTGGAGCCGGTCTCCGTTGAAAGTGCGCAATTCTGATCCGTGGTGCTGGCTGCTAACTCAGCTCCACTCCCAATTACTCCCTATGCTTGTCCTGCACCCAGTAGCCGTGAGCATCCAGGAAGAAAGTACAAGGCCTTGTGACAAGCTGCCAGACAGTGCCAATCAAGCGAACCCCCCCCCCCAAATAGGGATCATTACTCTCACTGCCGGGGAACCTCCACGGTAGTCTTGAACCCGTGACCCTTGAAGAAAGGCACACAGGTATGAGCCATGTCGGCCATGCCGAGATGCTCGTGAAGATCTTGGATATGATGCCGCAGGTTGCAGGAGTCGTCATGAACAACCTCTTGGGGATTTTAGGGTTTGGGGGATTAGAGGGGTTTGGGGAATCTGGGGATTTCGGGGGGAGTCTAGGGTTGAAGGATTCGGAGAACATCGCTTCATCGTCGTTTGCCACTCCAAAAGATTGCGCCAACATAATATGGAGGTGGGAATCAGTACCAATAGTCAATAGTCTCCATGTAATGTCCCTATACTGCACCCCCCCAAAGACCTGTTCTTATCATCAAGGCCCTTTTCCTAAACCCAATTTGCACAGCCTCAGTATCGAACCCGTATCCCTGATAACTGGCCTTAGTATAGAACCCTTACAAGAAACCGTATAACTCGCCTCAGTACAGATCCCTTATAAGGGCAATTATAAGAGCCCTGATAACTAGCCGTAATATAAAACCGCATAGCTCGCCTCGGTATAGTACCCTTAATTTGGCCCGCATAAAGAGCCCTTTTCCAAGCCTTCCTTCACCCCGTATTGCTATTATTCTTATTCTTCTTCCTGATATTCTTATTCTTCTGATTCTTCTGATCATTGTTATCATGCTTGTTCTTATTATATACTCTTTTTTCATAATGAGAAGGAGGATCCGCCTTCAGCAGCCCGGCGGCCAGGGGCAGCTTCAGCTTCTCCCGCGCCCTCTCGACGAGCTCGGCATTGACCTGCGGATCTTTTCGGGTGTTTCGGATCTATAGGGTTTAGGGGCCTTTACAGTAGGGGTTATGTTTTTTTTTTCTATGGGCCCTTTTCCAACTGCAGAACAGAAAGAATACCTTACCAGGCGGGTCAATGGTTTAGGGTTGAGGGTTTCTGTGGCTTTGGGTTTAGGGTTTCACGTGCAAGGCACCAAGGTCCGGCAGAAAGGTCGCACTGACCGCGCCCGCCCACCAGCACGAGTCGAACATCCAGGAACCATGTGAACACCTGCCTACTTCCACCTGTGACATGGGAGTTTCCGAAAATAAGAGACCCTGATATACAGTACCCTAGATAGTAGGATCCATATTATGAGGACCCCAACATAAGGTACCCCTAATTTTCGGGCACTCCCGCATTGAGCATAAGCTTACATTCGGAATCCCCGGGCCTCGATCGAGATCACCTGGAAAGCAAGAAACGATCCATCGCAAGACCAGCACAGCACCGGGGGGGGCGGGGGGTGGGGGCACACAAGCGATAAGTTACGCTGCAGCACACCCTGTGCGACTCACTGTGCGCATCTTCTGTTCTATTGCCTGGTAGACTCCGCAAACCTATCGCGAACTTCTACACTACAAGAAAATGATGCCACAACCTCTGCCAGACCAGAAGGCTGCGACAAAAGGCACCTGCCGGTATAGGCCGCTGGACAGGGCCTTCAGCGCGCCCTTCAGGGTGTCAGCTTGGCAGAACCCTCTACAAAAGTGTTCTCCGAACAAGAGCCCCCTTTTCGGTCCCCACTTATAACAGGACTCGAAAAATGGAGACTAATTATAGCGAACTGCCCATACGCGTTCTCTAAGGGTTTGGGGTTTTCGGGCTTCGGGCTTTGGGATTTCGGGCTTTGGCGTCTAGTGCTTAGCGTTTGGGGGCTAGGCCTGTAAGGGTCTCGCAACGTACGTTTCGATGATGACAACGTGAAGCTGAACTGATAAGATGCCTATGTCCTGCTTAGCTCGATAGCAGAGAGCAGAGGACCAGAGCGATGCAAGGAACCTAAGTAAGGCCGCTTGAGACCGCCATGATTTATGTTCTGCCTTCATGTGGCAATATGGTGTTTTTGGAAGCGTGTTCTATTACAGCCATACTTAGCCATACACTGACTTCAACAGAATCATACTGCTTGCCTCAACTTCAATCCCAGGCCTCACCGTGAAAGAGGCCTGTCTCCACGAAGTAGGCGCTCGCCTCGTCTCACTGAACACATATGACACCTGCCAAAACCCGCCGAAAATCACCCCGTATAAAGCCTGAAAGATGCCTTGTAGAACCCTTCAGAAAACATTTCGAGAAACCTATCATTCAAGCTTTTGGAACCTAGCAAATGCGAATGGTTCGGTGCCCCTAAACCCTAAACCCCTAAACCCCTAAACCCTAAACCCTAAACCCTAACCCCTAAACCCCTAAACCCCTAAACCCATGAGGGATTCCAGGGACTTCTCAAGATCTGCTTCCCGGACTCTGCAGTCCGACTCCCCGGCCCGCCAACCACCCCAGAAAACAGGGAAGATCCCTGTTGCAGAGGCATCCTTCACCTAGGAGTTTCCGAAAAAAGGGCGGGGGGGTCCTTACAAGAGGATCCTACTATTTAGGGTACTATATCAGGGTCCCCTATTTTCGGAAACCCACGCATGTTAAAGCATCGGCTCACTGTGGTGTCAACAAGAAGAACCTCAATGCTCCAAGTCCTGGGTTCAAGGCTTCCAGAGTTTAGAAAAACTTTTTTGCTAAAGAATCCCTAATCTCACGGCGCTTTTCCAAGCCGTTCTAGGAGCTTATCGAGTTCAATCGTATCCCCTCTTAAGGGTCCCTAAACTCCTGAACTCTTATTCGGGGTCCCGGTCTGGGTTGACCTGCAGAAGAGGCACAAAGGGGCCGAGGTCGAACCAATCGAAGTTGATCGGCATGCGTGTAAATCAGATCCCTCACACTCCTAGAGAGCCCAACTTATCCCGGTTTAAGGTGCAGGGTTTGGTTTCTAATGCTCTTGGTTTGGGGTTTAAGGCACACCTTCAACTGCAAAGGAAGTTACCGCCGCCTACCCTTAAGCTACTTGGGAATAAGGGGATATCGTTCTCTCCGAGCTTGCCGTCAATTGCGGCTGCTCATCAGACTTGCAGACTGAGTAGGTGCTTCAATTCGTGTCGGTGATTGTTTTGGGTGGGGTTGGGAACGTTGGAGCTTCTTAGGGCGAAGAGAAGTTCGCAGCTTGGTAGCTGCTGGCGCCGTCGGACCTCGTGTGCCTGAAGTATCTGGATGTGCCCGTGGTGCATGCGCTTAGTTTGAGCCAAGTGCTGCAACGACGGAGAGCTGCGACCACACGAACTATTCCCCTTCCCCCTGGCGGGTGCAGAAAGCAACAGTCGAAGGTTTCAATTAATTTTTGCTGCGAAGGGTCAGGGGCTTAGTGCTTTGGGAAGGCGTGGCGAGCGAGGACGCCAGTGTGGGTCAGCCGCTCAACTTCGAGCTTCCCTGCTCTGCAGAAGCAAAGGCTCTAGAGACCCGGATGGCAGCACTTTTGGAGCCGGAGGCCTCGACAGGCACTGTCGTGCTCTTCCTCCACGTCGGCTTCCTCCTCCGAGCCCAACAAAGAGTCGCACCTGTGCCTCTGAAACCCGTAGCTTTACACCCGCAACCTCTCGAAACGCCGTCTGCAGGGACATGGGAAGTCCTCATCTTCCATGCTGAGGCATGCGGTGAGGCCGACGAGCACCAGAAGTGTCTCTTTTCGGCTCAATGTTATCTATTGGGCACATGAGCCGGGCTCTCTTTGTCTCATGCCTCTCCGAGCCGCTACCTCTGGACTCTCATTCATGTGCCATCTTGCAAGGTCTAGTGAGTCTGGCGGACCCTGTGCTGAATGTTGCTGAGATTGTTGCTGTCGTCGTATCTTGCCCGAGTGCCCTAAACTGACTGGCTGCAGAGCAGAAAACGGCAATGCAAAGCTGCAGCTCAAGAAATCACAGAGACTGTTGCATTGAAATACGACACATACACTGACCCTAACAAGCGCTGCTTACATAATGCTACACTGTTTTTTTCAAGGGTGGTGGGCTCTCTGGCAGCCTTTGCAATCTTTGCAAACCTTAAGTTGGAAATACTAGACACGCAGGTTGCTCGGCTCGGGCGGAAAAGAGCTCTTCCAGGACAGAAACAAGTCTGAGCGATCAAACCCACAGTTTCGCACTCCCACGTCTGAAAACGACGAGTCGAGATCTCTGAATCCACCGAAAGACAGCACAGGATGGATCGTACCGATGCAGCGATGGGCAGATAGTCGAAGAGCTCCGTCACATACTGCCAAACCTCTTGCCGGCTGTGCCGGCGAGACAGACTTGCAAGCATGAATGCGTCGCGGTCGTAGCAGTAGCAGTAGCAGTAGCAGTAGCAGTAGCAGTAGCAGTAGCAGTAGCAGTAGCAGTAGCAGTAGTAGTAGTAGTAGTAGTAGTAGTAGTAGTAGTAGTAGTAGTAGTAGTAGTAGTGGTAGTAGTAGTAGTCGCAGTCGCAGTCGCAGTCGCAGTCGCAGTCGCAGTCGCAGTCGCAGTCGCAGTCGCAGTCGCAGTCGCGTCGCAGTCGCAGTCGCAGTCGCAGTCGCAGTCGCAGTCGCAGTCGCAGTCGCAGCCGCACGCAGTCCCGCAGTCGCAGTCGCAGTCGCAGTCGCAGTCGCAGTCGCAAGTCGCAGTCGCAGTCGCAGTCGCAGTAGCAGTAGCAGTAGCAGTAGTAGCAGTAGTAGCAGTAGCAGTAGCAGTAGCAGTAGTAGTAGCAGTAGCAGTAGCAGTAGCAGTAGCAGTAGGAGTAGGAGTAGGAGTAGTAGTAGTAGTAGTAGTAGTAGTAGTAGTAGTAGTAGTAGTAGTAGTAGTAGTAGTCGCAGCAGCAGTAGCAGTAGCAGCAGTAGTAGTAGTAGTAGTAGTAGCAGCAGTAGTAGTACTAGTAGTAGTGGTGGGCGGCAGTCTTCAACTCAACGGCAACATGCGATCAAAAGTATGTATGGAACCTACACTGCACTGCTGCAGGCCATGTCCCACCCCCAAGCAAGTCCCCGATCATTTTGAGTGGAGCCTCCAGTTGAGTTTCCGAGGATATTACCGGGCACAGGGTGTAAGTATCAAGTTGAGGGTGGGTGAATCGAACCATTTAATCGAACAGTGCTCATCGTGAGAGAACCCTCAGGAGCAAGACTCCGAGCATGCAGAGAAAAGGCATTCAGATAACTTATGTACATACTATATTCGCCTACATTATATCATAATGAATTATACTATACTCTACTATACTATTATGCTACAATATCTTACATTTTTGCTCTGCTGTAGAACATTGTACTGTATGGTATGATACCCCATTACATTATGTTATAGTATATATTATCTTTTTTCATCCCATATTACATTAAATTAAATTACGACATATTACACTACATTATAGTCCATTGTATTATGTTCTTAGTCTATATATGTTATATTATACTATACTATACTGGGCTATATTATCGTATCTTGTATTAGACTGTAGTATATTATGATCGATTGTATTACGCCGGATTGAATTGTATTATACTATACTATACTGTATTATACAATGTTATCATTGTATATGCGTATACAGATTTTCCCGTTTCTGAATATACATATGTATCAATGTCCACACATAATATAGACGGGTGATTGGAGCCGAACTCAGCACACGTACGTCTGCACAAAGCACATTGCTTACATGTTGATTTCCCATTGCCAAACCCACCATCGATTAGGGCCAAGACATCGACTTAGCTTCCCTTGCACGTCTGAGATCTCGGCAGAGGCATCGCCGTACTTCCGAACACACTCCGCATAGAAGCCGTAAACCTGGCAGAACTTACCGAGACCCAATTGCAATACTCAGGTCTGAAACGCGAAACAGAATTAGGTTCTTGGCGATACCCCTACCTGTGCTTCGCTGCTAGATGCAAGCTTGCGTTAGTTTTGGGGCCGTACACTATTCTATACCTACAGTATGGAGGTTACGAATGGACACTCTCGGCAACTATTCCGACCTCTATATTAGGTTCAGATGTCTTTAGAGCACTCTGTTCTGTTCAGTAGTTGGGCAACAACGAGCTCAAATTTCCGATTTAGGATTTAGGAGACAATCCTAAACTCAAAAGCCAAAACTTAAATACCTCACACTCGAAAATGAAACCCAAACACATGAACCTTACCCAACAACTTCTCGGCTAAGACGGCAGAAACCCCCCAAAAAGGGGCTCCCTGTCTGGTTGTAACAGGTCCAAACCCTGAAAGCAGAGAGCGCCTGAAAACCAACAAGACCCTAAAAAGGCAGAGACACTCAAATACCCTAAATACCCACATAAGCCTCCATTAGTCCCTGAACCTTACCCGATGACTGTCTGGCAGACGACATATCGCCTGCGTGATCTGTCGGCTCTCGTGGTTGCCACGCAATAGCCTGGAACTGCCACGGCTTATAACTTCAGCGTAGACTGTAAGGTGCCATACTTGGGGGATCAAAGGAGTTGTACAGTAAGTAGGATTATGAATCATTAATGTGATTATCGGATCCTTACAACTATTGAAACCTTCTAACCCTGCATATGACTGTGCATGAGGTGTCAAGTGGGGCTTCACTACAACCTACAAAGTTTTTGAAGGGCTTAGAGCTTTGTGGCTACAGGGTTGCAGGATTTTTCATGCTAGGAATGTCGGGCCTCTGGTGATAGGTTGTGGGTCAAGTTTGGGGTTTAAGGCTTAGGGCCCAGGGTCTACTTGGAGGTTCATGGGTAGTTATTAGTAGGGTTATAAGTCCCCGAATATGGGTTGTAAGTATAGTTACCCTACTTATAACCCTACTTCTAACTACCGTTTAGGGTCACCGCTGTTGTGACAGATGCTTGCCTGCCCGCCTATTTATCGTGAGAAGGACACCAACAACACCTTACCCTACACCGCAGAGGGCGTAAACCTAGTGGTTGGGTTCTCTGCTTCTTTGGAGCCTCATCCTACTGCGAGACTTTCCCAACTCAGAGCTCAAAGTTAGGAACAAAGTGTTGCCAAGTACACTTTAAGGAATACCTTCAAATGCTCTGGGGCTTCACTTCGTAGTTTTAGGAGTGGGGGTTAAGTCGCACTCTTTCTCTGTGCTGGAGCTCCCGACGTGATTCGCTCTGGGTGGCTGAGCTTCAGCAGTGCCAGCAGCCTGGCGATGAGCGTGGCGCGGCATTCGGGCTTTTGGTGTAGTTCAGGGCCTCATGGTGTTGGGGTTTGGGCTCTGGGGCGGACATGGGCTTCGGACATGGAGCTGCAAAGCTGAGAAGCTGCGAGGATTCTCAGCTCCTTCCCGAAGGCAAAACCCTTCCTTTTGCCAAGCGCCGAGACCTCTGGGGCTCTGCGGGCTCTAGGGCTCTAGGGGTCCTTGACCAGGCTAGTGACGGATTCCGAGTCACTAGACTCGGACTCACTGTCCGCTCCGCAGTGCTCTGCCGACTTTGCGCAGCAGCCGCAGCATAAGCGGATGCACAGCGCCAGGGGCTTGCAAACTGCACACAGCACAAGAATTACGGGCCCACAGCATATAACAGCGAAAATGGTGAGAAGTAGGAGGAGCGCCGCCAACCCTGTCAGAAGCTCGGACGTTGATGGTGTTAAGCCGCACGATCCCACATGCCGGACCATCTTCTCGTAGGAGGTGTGATAAGACTCTGCAGCGACGACTGCAATCAGCACGCAAACACAAGATGCCATGTACTTCCACATGCCCGGGACCTTCTTCTTGCTGTCCTGCACATCACTGAAGTTATCAAAGACATCTGAATCTGGACCGGAACTCTTGAGGATCAGCCAAAGTGCCTGTGAACCATTAGGCAGCGTCAGGGTAAGCGACATGCATGCGCTTACCAAGAGGTTGGCAAAGG